AGTGCTATAAAAATAATTTTTTTATTTTATTTTTTTATATAATTTTTACATATTATTAAATGAGTAAATGTATTTAATATTATAAATTTCATATAAATTGAAAAAATCAATTATTTTAATGACACATCAAGTTATACAAAAAAATAAAACAAAATGATTGTCCAATAGCATTTCCCAACTTTAACCTCACATTCCTGTCTAGTAGCTAAAATTCTTAGTGAAAATAATGTTTCATGAGTTATAAAAAGATATACAAAAAAAATTGAGAGAAATACGCGTCCTAGTACATAGAGCAAACACTAGAATGAAATAAAGTAATTTGTATTGGTCACTTTGTCAGAAGAAACTTCTTGTATTAATGTCAATATAATTATATTCAGTACCAACAACTTAAAGGACAAGAAATGGAGTTTGGCTGAGTTCTTCCAGTTGCGTGTTTGATGAAGAGGATTGGGACATGAATCTTGTCAAAAGTTGCATATCCTCATTTTTGTTGGGTGGTTTGATCCCCTTTAGCAAGTGATGTCTTAGAACGTGGATTCACCAGCTAGGTAGATGGGAAAGAGGAGGTTTGAGAGAAAGAAACAAATGATTGAATAATTAGGTAGATGGGAAAGGGGAGGGGGTCAAAATTCTTAGATTTAGATATATTTAGATTATAAACAACCTAGTTAATGGGTAGTATAATTTAAATACATCTTAATCAATATAATTAATTAGAATTATATATATATATATTCGGTAACTCTATCAAATTGTAAATTATAATCAACCTAGGTAACAATATTATTATTTATTGTTAGAGTATAAGAGGTATTTTTATTTATAAAAATTAATACTAATATTATATTAAATCAAACTTAAACTCAATAAAATTCAAACAATAGTTTATTAATGACAAGGCAAGATTTCATTGGAACCATAGATATCTTAGTTGATCCAACATCTAAAGCACAAATAACAAGAACAATATGATTCAAATTCATAATTTGTTTGGGCATGTATGAACATTCAATACAGCACGCAGCACACACTTTCAACAAAGTTTTCATGCATCAATTATTTAAATTGAGTAAATTCCATAGGAAAAAAAAAAGGGTTGAAACTTGAAATTTTGATTCATGGCAATGAAAAACACTCAAAAGTCAGTAAAGCCGCAAGCAATATGAGCAAGAATTTTATGACTACCAACTTTCCTAAGACGAAATGAAATATTCTTTCTTTTACCGAGGGAATTGCGGAAGCAAGAGCCGGTTTGGTTTTCAACGGACAGCCATGGATTGAAAGCTCCACCTATGTCTTCGACAAAG